TTATCATCCGTCACTAAGATCTGCACTTGATTGATGGAAGGGCTTTTAACCCCTTTAAAATTTTCCTCTCCTTTAAAAAAAAGTATCTTTTTTCTGAAGCAGCTGGCCATTATTCATTGGCAAAATTTCAATGAGTGCTGGCAGTCTTTTTCCTCAGGGAGTGTGTATGCTATTCCAGCAACATCCACAGGATAGTAATTAGGAGTGGCAACCCTGGCTATTTTTTCCCTCCCTAATGAACTCCAACAAAAAGCAACAACAATACAATTCAAATTTCATCTCTGTTCTTCTGAATATCAACAGTTTTGACTAGCATTAGAAAAAATTCATAAGTGTTATGTTCAAGGCCATCACATGAATATAATATATAAAGCAATAATATTTAGTGCAGATTCCTATTAATCACTTTGTGGTTTCAATGTCGAACAGATTCATGTCTGTTCAGTGATTGTGTCTGTTCAGGCACATTAGGCAAAGATCGAATGACCATCAAGTCACTTAGCCCAGCGGACTAGATTCTTCACCAAATTTTAATTTATATCATAGATATAGAGGACTAAATCCAACCATAACATCATTTGCAAAACAGTGTCAGAACTGAGCTCTGATCTTAATGTGTACACCAGAGAGAAACTTTTATGCAATCGATTTGCCTGTGCCTTCTCCCAGACAATAGAATTTTTCTTAACTGCACCTATTATATGCAAACTCACACGTATTCAGTCACTGAACCATGTTTGCATTAAAACCATAAAACAGTTATCCCTTGGGACCACAGTTTTTCATGTTTTACTGTGAAACCACCAGGATCACTTGTGTTTATTGTTCTGCCACTCAATTTTCAAAATAAACTAATGTTGTATTTAGGTGGCACAGTTGGTTTCACATAGTAATGTTTATTCACACAAGTTTTTAAAATCAGTTTGTAAAGACAATCAGTAAGCACAGTTGGATATGAAGAACTTTCAGTAACCCCAGTCTCTCTTCTAACACGTTGCTTAAATTATCTGAATCACATCACAAACCCTGTTGACAGGGAATGGATCTCTTTTCAGTATCAGCATTGGGCGCTGTCAACTCAAGCTGAGCTTCTTTTGCTCCGACAATATATAATTATGTGCTCAGGGGAGGCCCACACATCAAAAGAGCACCCCGTACTGCACGTGTGATACTTCTTCCATTTTTCACATCAGGCATCTCTTGTCTTCCCTGAGTGAAACTGCCAATTAATGTCAAATTAATGTTTATTTTCCTTTTGATAAATTCCTTGGGTGTGGTATAGCAGAGTGAGTGGAGAAAATCACACAAGAGTATGAAAGCCCCAGAAAGGATACTTGAAATGCACCTGATCCTCTAAGACTGAAAATAAGTAATCTCATCATTTATATGGCAAAGTCTAAACAATAAACCAGCTAAACTCTATTGCCCAATATTAACTTTTCTTTTTGCAATATACGTCCTAACACCACTGCATGACAGGAACATATTCATCTTCCCATCACTTTATTCCTAAGGGCTTATGTGTTTGAGGCAAGGTATGAAACAAAACCTTGTCTGCTTGTCCTGCTGGACAGAGTAGCTCTTGTGGCACTCTTTGAAGAAAATAACAAGATTGATTTTATGACTGCACTGAGAATGGTGGGTTTTCTGAATGCTGAATACAATGATGCTGAACTGTGCCAAGTATTTTGTCATTTTGAACCACTTTAGTGCATCCCATAATTCCATGTGGCTCACATAAAGAAAGCTTACGTTTATGATGCCTTGCCAATCCTCAGAATCTGTAAGTCTTGCACCACCAGTTAATGACCTTTTAAACTGTAGTCCGTGTTTTGTCAGCAAACACAAGGCCTCCATAAGCAGGAAATGAGGTGAGCAATCAGTCAATCTTTTTTGAATAGCTAAGAATGAATGTTAGCCAGGATGAGGGTGAGAAGTGATTCCTTCTGGTGAGCAGTTCCAAAATAAGAGGCTGTGGGCAACATAACATTAAAATTCGAGTTGGGTAGTTTGACAGTCATGTCAGGAAGCACTTTTCACACAAAAGAGTGGAAATGTGGAATACTGTCCCCTAAAAACTGTTGCTCAATTGAACATTTCAAAACTGAAATTGGTCGACCTCAGTTAAATTATAGAACCATAGGAATGTTGCAGCATAGAAAGAGGCCCTTCAGCCTAATGTCAGTGCAGGACAAAGGAAGAGGAAAAAGAAATTAACAATTCATTTTAGTTCCACCTTCCACATCTGGTCTGCAGACTGTGCCCCCTGTAATTGCCCTCTCAGATTGAGGAAGCGGGTCTTTGCTTGCTACCCTATTAAAGTCCATCGTAATTTTGTGAACCTCACTTAAGTCACCCCTCAGCCTCTCCTAAGGCAAGCAACCCTAGCCTAGCAATCTTTCCTTGTAGCTGCAATTTTTCAGCTCTGACAATATTCTTACAAATCTCAAGCAAATGTTTCAAGAGTTACAGAATCAAGTTGGCTAGTAAATTAAATACAGACAATCATTATCAAATCGAATGGTGAAATATCTGAACACCTCTGTTCCTCTGTTCCTATGTTCCTTGTAGCCTGGGAGAACCCCCTTGTCTTATAATGCCTTGGGATCTTTCCCATCCACCTGAGGAGGTGGCCAGGACCTTGTTTTAGCGTCTTGCCTGAATGGCAGGAATTCTGACAATGCAATGCTCCTTCAGTATTAAGATGATGAGTTTACTTGTTCAAGTTTGAAAATTATTTAAACTCAATCTTCAGACTCACAGAAGATACTGCCATCAAATAAAACTTTAAGCCTTGTATAGGTGTCCAGTTGTAAATAATTTCTCAATGTTCCAATTTTTATCCACCCATGAGTTAAAAGTTAAGAACGGCATTTATAATCCTCCAGTGCAAAATTTAAAAATTAGACAAAAAAGCTAAAATGAAATACAGGCTTAAATAGATCTAGGCTTTCTGTGTATCATTCTGGGCATATCTGAAATAGAGGCCTCTTGCACAACTACTTAAAGGATCTCTAGTGAGCAAAATACTGACCACAAATGAGGTTTTTGGTGTATGCAATTCTCTTCAGACTTAAATTGCACAATGTATTTTGCCATATTAGATGCAAGGCTCCAGAAGATTGAAAATTGCATCAATGATTTAAAGAGCAATGGTCTCTGTAATAGTTCTTTCCCTTCTGTGTACTTTTGTTCAGTTGGTTTTGCTGATGTATTGTGCAAGACGTTTTTGAGGTCAACCTGAAAGCCCATAGGATGTCTAATTGCGCTGAGCCCAGAGGCTAAGAATGCCTACTATCAATAGAGGTGCAAGTGACAGATGTTCAACAGTGATCACTGGTTGAAGTTGTGCTCCACAACTTTCAGCCAAACAGATGGAGCTGAAAGATTGGTAGCAAATGCATTTGGGATGGATATTTTTAATTTAAAAACTTCAGTTTCTTATATATTATTCATACAGAAAGTAGCTAGCTAATGTTATTGATAGGCACAATATTTAATACAAATTTCAACAACTGGCTATTAGAGCAAGTTCATAAAATGTACCATTGCTTCACATTAACAGGTTAGTAAGATGGCTGCACTCCTTTTAATGCCTTTGCCCATCCAAACTGGCTTCCCAATTAAGCCCATAGATTGCCTGATTTCCAACTGTTCATCCACATTCCCTTGTATCAGAGATGTTCACTTATTGTAAAGGTTTGCCTTTTGAAAAAACTGAAACTAATCGGTAAATTTTGCACCAAGAATATTTTTAATATTGATTTTAAACATGCATTTTGTATTTGTAAAGTAAATAGTGTTTGAATATTTATCTAGCATGACTTGAAGCTGAAATCAATTTGTTTTGTATTGACTGGTCTGTTTTTATTTTAATGCACTAACCATGTCCTTGATTACAAGGTAAAGAATTTAGTACTGCAAAGTATAAATCAGTTTTTCACGAGAGTTTTTCATGAGAATTGAAGCTATTTTATACTAAGAGAATAAAACAGTGCATAGTTGGTGCAGTTCAATGTGCTTTGAATCGTAATCGAGCAAAAATGGAGATATTCAGATATGGAACTAAAAAACATTCAACATCATTTTGAATGAATCAACAGAATGAAGAAAGCTTCAGGCTGGTGTCCATGGTACTGTTTTTAGTCTTAAAGAGCTACTATCTGATGTTCCAGCCAATTTGTCACTTTAGTGCATATTGGCCATGACATTCCTCTGGTCTTATTCCCTAGTCTGTCAGCCAAGCCAGCCAGTCATAGATTCTGAATGCATTTCCTGTATGCATGCTTTAGGTTTAGCTGTATCAGGCCAGACTCCACTCCCAGGTTTGTCCTCTGACTCTGACCTGTTGTGTGTCCTTCGCTCATCTTGCCCCAAAACTCAGAGCCTTGCTTTTTGGCATACAGGTCTATTTTACCTCCATGTTCTTCAAGGCCCTCCTTAAAACTGTCTTCGAACAGGCTTTTCATCACCCTGCCTAATATCTCTGTTCTTGATGTAGTGTGCATTTTTGTTTGATTATACTTGTGTGAAACACTTTTTGGGCCATTTTACATCATTTAAAATGCCATATGAATGTAGGGGGTTATTGTAAGAATGATGCCTCCTGTCAGCAAGGAGCATGTTCAAACATCAGAGTAAGAATTCAGTGTGGGCGCAGAGGGAAACCAAAGCCTATGGTACTAGGTGCATTAGATGGAATAGTTTTAAACTGGGAAAATGTCTCTAAAATGTTATAGAAAATTTCCAGTTTTACTTTGAGATGTTAATTCTGCTTCCTGTTGGAATCTGTTGATAATGCTTGTGTGTTAACTAAAAATGTTTTCATCTCTAGTCATTCTTCCTACAAGTGTGAACAGAGAAAAGTAACTCCCAGAATGGCAAACTTTAAACTTTAACGGTGTGATATACTTTTCTGAAGTGCGTTAGATCTCTTATTTTCTACCCAGAAGAATACAATTTATTTTCTTTCATTAATCTTTTTCCTCTATTCTTTCCAGGAAAGTTGCAGGAAGTGTCAGGTGTTGTGGAAAGACCATGCTGGGCTGTCATGTGATCAGGTGGTCGAAAAAGATGAAATCAAATTCAGGACGTCATTGTAAGTAGCTGACTGTATTGCCAGTTCAAGAAAGACTATCTTGTAATCATCTTAATTTGAATATCTTGTTTTTCCATAAATTGATGCTGCAGGAATGGGAATTGACTGAAAATGTGCTTTCTTCTTTCATAAATTTTTGATTTTGAAACGTGAATTTTTGATTTGAAGAGGACCCTTTGGCAATTATCCACTTAAAATTAGCACAATCCAGAAAAGGGAACAGAGAGAACTGTGATGTAGCAAAGAGGAAGAAAAGAAGTGAGCGAGGGACCCACAGGAAAAGGAGAGGAGAGGGACAGAAGGGGCTAAGGCAATGAGAGAGATTTCTGCTGAAGGAATGGAGTGACTGGTTGGTTAGAGTTATGGTGTAGAGAAGGTATGGTGCAGAGAAAGAGGTGGCTGAGAGACAGAGATCAAAATGAGGACTACATGTATTCGTGGCCACGAAAACATGAGAGAGGTGATTATTTTAGTAAAATTGATTTGAACAGTTGCAGACTGGGCAAAGGAAATCAAAGATGTTGTTTCCAAACGTTAGGGTTTTGTTTGAAATTCAGTTTCGTAAACCCGCCAAGAACTAAGAAGCAATGACAGTACAAATGTACAGTTTTGCTGTGAGGTGCATGATAATTCAATACTGTTTGTATTTGCAGTTAATTGAATCACCTAAATCTGTTTTGCAATTTTTTTTCTGCTTTTGAAGTTCTACCTAGTAATACTGTATGGTTTCAGCTGCTATCTTACCCATGTGGCCGTGCTTTTCTGTATGAATGCACGATGTATAACCTAAAATAAGGTATTTGAAAGGGATGCTGCTGAACCAAACCCAGAACTGCATTCACTATCCACACAAAGATTGGAACAGTAATCTGGACTCACGTTTTTTGAAGTCTAGCTCTAAGTATCAATCCAATCCAGTGCCCTAAGTAAGAGCAGTTCACTAAGCACGGGCCAGAAATTGACTGGAACTTCTGCACTATGTGACCTAGGAATACATTGGTTGATGCCTGTTTCAATGGTATGATATGATGTGATCTAAAGCAATATCATATGATGCATCCCACCTTTGTTTATTATTTTTCCAACTATCCTGAAAGCATTGGCGGCAAAGGGATGGTTATTCAATAAGGGCAACAACAGCAGACTACTGGCACCTTTTCAGAGTTAGTTGTTTTTCAGCAGCTGGAAAATCATAACCTGGTCTTTATGCACACACTTTCCAGGAGGAGGCACTGCAGGATAAGTTTCTCCCCCTTTTGTGTCCAGGAGCAGTGAAGTTGATTGCTATCCCAACTGAGCACAACTCACACCTGTCCTGTACACCTCATTTCTCTGCTACAAATTGCATTATGGGAAGATAAAGATGTGGTCTGAATGTCAAGGAATGTTATAAAGTTCCAAATGATGAAAGAAACGATAGATTCTGTGTTTGAGTTTAAAAACAAGTCTGATCTTGTCACCTGGCTGAAGTAAGGAAAAGTTAGGATGCCCAGCAATATCATTTAAACAAGCAACTGTTGTTTGCTCCCCTGTTGATGTAGTTTTACCACAACTCATTGCTTAGGCTTTTACAGAACAATATAACAGTGGTTTAAATCTGCAGACTCTGCGACTATCTGTTCTGCTGTTAAACAAACTCAAACCTGTATTTTGAGAGCACCTTTAATGTTGTAAAATGCCCCAAAGTGGTAAACAGTGTTATGCCTGACTGGGGTAGCACTTTGGAAATTAAGCCCTGCTATTCCTGGAGTCACCACAAAAGTTAAAGATTTTAAAAGTATGCAGAATCCACCAGACCCAGTTTGTCAGAAAACACAGATGAGGTTTCTGTTATTGAAGACGTCAAGGGATACGGTGATCATTGCAGGAAAATACAGAGGTGGAAAATCTGCCACGATCTAGTTGAATGGCACAGTCGACTTGAGGGGCCAAATTATTACCACCTGCTGTATTTTGTATGTCCCAAAGAGTTCCCATGTGGGATCAGAGTACTCTAATAATGCTGGCACAAGCATCATCAATGGAAACCTGGGAATATTAACTTTCGCCGTGAATTTTGCATGCAGTGCTTCTGAAGGTTGAGATGCATTAAGTCACAGAAGACACTGTCAAGCCACAGCAATGCTGAGAGTTGGTACAGTAGATGAATTAATTGCACGGGTAGTCCATTCAGCGCCTCAAGGTCTGCTGTGCCCTTTGATAAGTTTGTGACTGATTTGATTGTGGCCTCCACTCTACTTTCCTGTCTACACCCTATAATTTTTGATTCCCTTTTGCATCAGGACTTTATCTAACTCGGCCTTAGAAATATCCAATGCTGTCTGGGGCAAAAGAATTCCACAGACTGACTAACATCTGAAAGAGACATAATCTTCACATCGCAATCTTAAGTGGGAGGCCCTGTAACTTTTTAAATCTCTTTGAACATGTACATAAGTTATAATTGCTAAGAATCTTGAAATAATAATCAGTATACAACATCAATCTAAAATCAGTTACTGATAGGATGACGGTTCTTGCCCCCTCCTACTGAACTCAAATCTATCAATGAATTGCTATTTAATTTGTGACAAAATCCATTTTTCTCTGTGCCCTGAATTTGGTAATTTGAGGAGTTAGTTGGAAATCATAACATTCAAGCCAAGGAATGTTCTGATGCTTGCTATGTTCGCTTTTTGTCTAGGAAGGGAACAGGGCCTGTTAGCACGTTTTAAGAGGCCACTCGGAATAGTTCAAGGGTCACTGATCAACACTTCAGCAGCAATCAATGTGTCAATGAGAGAAGGGTAGTCAGTGATGTTGCCAAAGTGCTGCCGTTGGCTGGTTCCAGACAGTAATTGCAAAGGATGGCCTTTTGGCAAAAGAAATTGTTGAAAGCAGCTGAAGAGCTGAAATTGTGCCAGTGATTTAATACTGGAATGCAAAAGAGATTGAGTGATTGGAAGGTGAACACTTGTTGGCAGCAGCTTGGCTGAGGATCTGGGAGTTGATTCAAGCACAGTAACGAAGGATGGAGTTGAAGGAAACCCACAGACGATATTTGCTTGGTGGAACTGAGGAATATTGGACCTCTGAGAAACCCAAGAGCAGAGCAGCATTGTGAAGCTAGCTGTTGCACAACAGACCTGGAATTTTGCCCATGAGTCAGTGTTGGAATGCAGCCTTCGGAATCCATTGGAATTAAGTCTTGGGAAGAGATTATCCAACAAAGATGTGAGCAGTCATTGAGGCAGTCCATGATGGAATGGAATGGTTTTTAAACGAATTTAAGGCTAAATATTTGGAAGTGAACAATAGGAAGCCTTTGTAAAGGAGACCGAGCTTTGAAAGAATATTTTTCAACTGTGATCACTTGCTTGAGAAGGATACTGAGAACTTCATGGATCAATCTTGATCACATCTGCTATTCGATGTCTTTGTCTTTGGCGTGTTTGACCATAATTTGTCTGTTGCTCATATGTACCTTAATTCTGGATGTTAGAGTATAAACTGCATATATAATTGTTTAATTGTTCTAACTTTGTAGAAAACTCCAGACTGTGAAATCTTGTTTCAGTATTTTCTTAGTGAGCACCCAGGATCTGAAACTTGATCAGCTTTGAAGAAAATTAACTGGTCCCCAGCCAGATGGCAACCTAATTTAGTGGCCATATCTAGAATTGTAACAAAATAAAGATGATTCTGAGCCAAGAACAAACCTGTGGAAAATAAATTATTTCAATGTTTTCTTAAAAGGTTTAAGGGTCAGTGTTAATGTGAGCAAGAAAATATCCACAATGTTAAAGAAATTGATGTTGATGGTGTTCTGTGGTGGTGAAGGAGGAATGTGTCATCCCCTAATGTAGCTCGAGACGGTGTTTTTAAAGCATGTCTGATTTCAAGTGTACAGAGTCAGTCAGTGGGAGAATTTCCTTGTTGGATTCCAGTACTGTAAAAGGGAAGAGTTATTTTGCATGGTCTCATGTAGTAGATGGCTATTGTATTGTGAAGTACTTTGTGTCTCCTGTAAGGTTGCTGTGGGGATTGAGTATATTGACTAATTTCTCAATAAAATAGCACAAAATTCTAAGCTAATTCTCTGAAGAGAGGTTTTTTAAATACACAGTGGCGGCATGCCAGTGACAGTTACAAAATCAGTTTAATTTATCTGCCAGAAGCAAATTGCAAGAGCCCATTTGGCATTTTGGAGTTCCAAGGGCTACACACACTCGCTCTACTGCACCACTGAAGAGTAGTTAAAAGCTGTGTGCTGAAGGCAAATATCATTAAAAACAAGTGCTGACTTGCTGGGACAGGAAAGAAAAGGCAGAATGCCATGCTAGCACTTGATAAAAGTAGCTTTATGCTATTACGTAGTCTTAGTTTCAAAATCAAAGTCTAATAATTTCCATTTATGTTATGATAGTGCTAAGTTTAATTCCGATGCATGTTACTGATGGAAACTTGCACAATATTGTCAGCCACGTAAGAGTTACAGAGGTCAGGAAATTCATTAAACCTTAGTTTAGAATTGTTCGTGGCCATCTGAAAATATTATTTCCTAGCTGTGCAGATGCAGTAGAAAATCAGGAAGTGTATTTGTCATTTTCCTGAGGACGTTGAACACCAAACACTGTGTCCGTCATGTGTGGTTTCCTTTTTGACCATCCATGCATCCTGCTCCACAGAAGCAGGAAGAGTCTGCCACAGATCACCAGTAGATGCAGTATGACTCTTTCCAATAGATTGTCTAGAAAGGATGATCCTCCAATTGGCTTTTACATACCAGTTGGTGTACAGGTTTCATCACAAATGTATAACTTTCAAATCGTGCAACTGAATCATTTAAACCTTGGTTACAAGAACATGATTGTACTCCTGAATGTAACCAATTAGAAACCATAAACAGATCTAGACAATTGCACTTCACAAAACAAGAATGGAGGTATTAGCATCTCAGAGCACACCAATAAAATGGTTTCTCAGCATGATCTTGGCAACCTCTCAAAAGTTGGAAAAATCTTTCTTGCATACAAATGAATATATATGTTAGGATCCCTGGTGCCACTGTCTTAAAAATAGTCAAATACTGTGTTTCCACTGATCTCTAGGATAGAGAGTTCCACAGACTGAGAGAAAAATTCCCCTCATCTCTGCCTTAAAAGAGCAACCCTTGACTTTTAAATTCTGTCCCTTGCTTTTAGCCCCTCCAAGGGGAAATATTCTTTCAGCACCTGCCCTGTCAAATCTCCTCAAGATCTATGTTTCGGTAAGAGCACCTCTCATTCACGTCCAATGCCACCCCCCTCGCCCGCAGTCATTTCTCCATAACATAATCTCTCATGCCAGGAATCCGTTGCATCAACCTTCTCTGAACTGCTTCTAATGTCTTTTCTGAAATAGAGACTAGAACTGTACACAGTACTCTGGATTGAAACCTTTGTATTCCATTTCCCTTGCAGTAAGCAATAACGTTTCACTTGCCTTCCTGATCACTTTTATATGCAAGCTAACATTTTTGATAAATTCCAAATATGCAACCAGCATCACCTTGAAGGACAAGGCAGCAGGTGCATGAGAACATTATCAGCCTCAACTTCACCTCTAAGCCACAGAACTTTCTGAATTAGAAGTGTATCCCTGTTCTTTCACTGTTGCTAGGTCAATATCCTGGAACTCTCTAACAGTTTTGTGTTTGTTGCTATACTCCAAAGACTGCAGTGATTCAAGAAAAAGTGGCTCAACACTACATTCTCCAAACTAATTGGGGGTAATAAATGCTGGTTGAATCAGCAATGCCCACACCATAAGAACAAATTAAGAAAAGGTTATCAGGACGCCCACATCCCTCTGTACATCACTCCTTTAATTCCTCTCTCTTCAAATAATATGCTGCTTTCTGTTCTTGTCAGAATTTGCACTTTCCCAAACTATATTCGTCTGTGAAACCTTTGCACATTCACTCAATCTATCTCTATCCTTTTGCAGACTCCTCGTCCTCTTCACAACTTACTTTCCTACTACTTTTATATCATCAGTGAAGTTAGCAATCATACATTTGGTACTTTCAAATCATTAATATGGATTGTAAATAGTCATGTTTCCGCGCACTGTTCTGAACTTGTGTGATAATCTCAACATTATGACAGAAAAACTGTTTCTTTTTATTTATAGCTCTCTATCCAGACCAATTTAAATGGACTTTCCTAGTTCAGTCTAAAAGTAAACAATTACCTCTGTGTAGTAATTTCTACATAACAGGATGTCTCTGGAATGTGAAAGACTTTTGTTCTTTGGTATTAAAAATTGGAAAATACATTAAAAATGTGTCAACTTTAATTTTTCGACTTGCAAATCAGATGGCAAGCTGCTTAATCTTCTCCATTTCCCCCCACCGACTCTTCTGAGCCACTGACTAGCTGAGGAATGATTCCATTGGTACTAACAGCTAACTGATACCCCAAGTGACCGTTCTTCACTGGTGAACTTAATGCTGCTCAACCCCTATGATCTACATATTTCAGTGGCCCTTCTAGATTAAGGCTGGTCAAGTCACAGTGCTGCACCTACTGCTGTTAATTTAATTGATTTCAGATTATGGCTTCCTGATTTGTATTCTTAATTGAGATTTTTTTTTGCTTTATGCCCTTTAAACCATTAATAAAAGAATGTGGTTGCTGAACTATACTGTGTAAATATATTGCCAACATAACATTGGACTTAAAGTTTTATGTAGTTTCTTTCGTGTCCTCCAATCATCCCAAAACCTTTTACAGTCTAAAAGTACTTTCAAAGTATGTTCACTGCTCCAGTGTTAAAAACATTGCAACCAATTTAGACTCCACAAGATCCCACAGACAATATATTTTTTCATGGTGCTAATTAAGGATTAAATATGGCTACAATGCTGGCGAAATCTGCCCCCTTACTATTTCAATAAGGCAAGATCTATTAAATGTCGTACATTCACCTGAAAGCAAACACAGCCTTGGTTTAACACACCATTTGGGGGGAAAAAAAAATTCCTCTTGACAGGATGTGGAGGTGCCAGTGTTGGACTGGGGTGGACAAAGTCAGAAATCACACGACACCAATTTATAGTCCAACAGGTTTATTTGAAAACGCAAGTTTTCGTGAAAACTTGTGTTTTCAAATAAACCTGTTGGACTATAACTTGGTGTCGTGTGATTTCTGACCTTGTCCTCTTGACAGGGCACTGCTATCTCTGTACTGGATTGGTGTGTCAGCTGAGACTTTGAGTTTAAGTCACTGGAATGTGGCTTAGAGGTCAACAACACAGAAAAAGGCCCTTCGCCCCAATTGAATCAGTGCCATCCACTGTGACTCAAGAGCTATGGTTCATAACCCTCTTCACACCATTTCTCCTCTCGAGTTGTAACATGAGAACATCCTTAGTGATCCCAAGTAATAGTCTCCACGCCCTCTGTGTGAAAAATAACAAATTACCAGTGAAAGCTCCTTTTTCTTTTTAGATGTTGCCTGACCTATATGTTTTCTATGTTTCTGTTTATCTCTAAGAATTGTCCCTTTCTGTTGGGATAATATGTGTAGTTCTGCATTTTCAGGTGGTATGAATGTAGCCACTGCCACAATGTAAGTTGTGAAAAATATTACAGAAGTCATTTCAGTATTGAATCCAGAGTTTCTTGAATATCTGGAGCAAAATGTGTATGAGCAATCTTAACACATTTTTCACTGCTTTTCGTACAGCTTTTGAGCTGCTACTATCTTACAGTTTCCGCCATAAGGGGTGGTAGGAATGATCTGGGGTTATCGCTTCGATTGCATGGCATACCTAACTTAGAAATGCATATGGCTGTCGCACTTGGTTGTGATCGCCGCCCATTCTCTAGTTTACTAATACGCTGTCTTAGATACGCAAGAAAGGTCAGTTAGGCAAACTGCTAGAAAGGAAATGTGTAAAGGAAGTGAACATTGAGAGGATTTCGATGAACAACCAGCATTGATGAATTGAGAATTTTCACTCATTAACTTTGCAAATCAATGTTTTCTCAATCATAGTAATCTTGTGTTACAGTGAGGAAAAAATGACCGCAGCTGCGATCAGGAAATGTCATAAATGCACAATGGGCCTCATAAAATCTGAAGGATGCAACAGGATGTCCTGTCGTTGTGGGGCACAGATCTGCTACCTCTGCCGGGCTCCAATAAATGGGTATGACCACTTCTGCCAACACCCACGGTCACCGGGTGCGCCTTGTCGTTTATGCAAGAAGTGTTCTTTATGGACAGATCCTAAGGTAAAGTGTTGTGTAGTTCAAAGAATATTGTTAACTGTGATGCAAAATTCTAATGTATGACAGACATAATTTAAACAAATAAAACAGTGCAGATGTGGAAAATCTGAAACAAAAACGAACTGCTGAAGAAACTCAGCAAGTCAGGCAGCATCAGTGGGAGAGAATGCAGAGTTAACATTTTGGGGCTATTTTGAAGAAGCGTCACTGGACCTGAAACGTTAACTGTGCTTTCTCTCCACGGATGCTGCCGGACCTGCTGAGTTTCTCCAGCAATTTCTTTTTATGATTCAAGCAAATCTTGTTTATAGCTTCCGCAGAAGTGGGCCTATTCTATAAAAAAGAGATAATTCCAGGTCTATTGCAAGGATTGCAGAAAACAATTTACATGGAAAAATTTTTACCTGATCTGATCATTGTATTGCATAATACATCAAAACACAGACAGCTAGTTTGAAAATCATGGTGGAATGTCTGTAAATTAACTTGAGTGCCTTGAGAAAATGACTTAAGTGTAGCTTCACTTAACTTTGTTAATTAATGTACTTATTACAGTGAAATGGATGTCCAATATGACAAATCAGTCTTCTATTATTTATCCAATAATAACAATGAAATTCATTCCTTCTATCAATAGACCCCTGCACTTTGATTGTAACAGAGATGGGTTTTTATGGCTTTTATCAAGTTTTTGATCAGTTGTATCACATTTAACTTGGAGATGATATGCTATAATTATTGTTAAATGTTGTTAGAAGAAGAAGATCAGAAGGAGGCTAGTATGGATCATAAATTACTAATTTGCACCATTTAGGGTGATACTGTATTTCAGAGCTGCCAATTCAATCTAATTAAGATGACTATTTGCTGCAAGTCTGACACTTGATTGACATTTGGTTAAACAACCACCTGAGTCCTTATGTTGTTCAAAACCTGGCTGCAAGGTTTGTTGTGGCAGTAAGGACTTTTGTTTTCTGTTTTAACAGAAATGCCACGTGCATTTATAGGGTGTCCTTTAAGATTTGTAAAGACAAAAAGTCCCAGGATGCATCTCAAAAGCACAAGTAAAAGAAAAATCAAATAACTTAATCAAAGAGTGAGCTTTAAGGAGAATTTTGAAGAAACAAAAGGGAGTGAATGCTAGGATCTTACAGAGGGAAGTGGCATAAAACACAATGCAGGAGTGAAGCTGGACAGGCGTAAAATAAACTTGAATTTGAGAAGCAGCTAGTTCAGGGTTTTGGGGTCATAGTGCCCAAGGTATTATGGAGTTGAAACACAGGACATGGGGATATTTAAATTTAAGGGTGAAAGTGTGATGCGCTGGCCAATCTGGAACATTGTGCTTCAATAAAGAAAAGGATTATTGGCAAATAGGATTTGATGCAGGATGGGTTATAAGCAGTGTTCTGGTACAATTATCCAGAAGACTAGCTAAGAAAGTGATAGAATAATCATGATTGGCAACAGTAAAGGTAGAAATGAGGGTTTCAGTGGAGACTGGTGTGAGGTGGGTGTTTGGTTGAGATCCATGTTAATATTTTAAAATTTTGCCAGTTTATGATGAAATCAGATTTAATACTGTACAGTTTATCCTTTGGTTTCTGTCAAAATGACATTGCAGCTAATAATAATATAGAAACTAAAGATATATAATGTATTATTCAACAAGAAAAGCAGTGAGATATAAAAATACATTGGAAAGCTGCGCATTAAAGCAGTATGTCTTGCTGACTCTGCCTATGAAAATTAGCAATCAAGACAGTGCATAATTGGGAGTATTTTACTGTATATGATACCAAATAGTGTGTGTAACAAGGAATAGCAGATAATTGGGAGCCATTACAATGTCCCTGCAGTGTGTGGGACGTTAAACCACTGTATAATTTAGGGTAGATCTGACATGTAAAGAAGGAAAGAGGGTTCAGCTAACTGATTTGGCCATTTCAACCTCAAGTAATTGGTTCTCACACAGACAATTTAATACTTTTGTGTTAATGATAACTCAGTCTTTAGATCATTGAAAACAGAATGGATTTGTATGACTGATCTTATTGTTTAACAGTAGCTGATCTTACTCAATTCTTTCATGAGAAAGCATCTTGGACTGATTCTGTGCCTAACATGTTGCTTTAAAGGGAACTAATTGAAGACACGTGGGAATGTTGCTCATGCAGTAGAGCTACGAAATTTCCTGTGTGGAGAAAAGTCTTAGCCTTTGGTGATTTTCTGCTATTTTTATACCTTTGCTTTAATTTCACAAGAGCTTGGTACATTAAATTAAAGTGTTGATCCCAAAAAAGGAAACTGGCAATGCCAGTCTGATGCTGTTGCTATCCATTTTAGGTTATTGTTTCTAGAAACCAAAAAGCTCAACTTTATTACAAAGAAGTCAGTTCTTCGTGAATACAGAATATTGAATTTTTACAGCATATAGAGGCCATTCAGCTCATTATATCTATTCTAGCTTCGTGCAAGACCATCTAAAGCTGACCCCGTTATCCCACTCTTTTCCCTATTAAAAAATGTTTATATTGCTGCTTCAAATATTTATCCACAGATCGAGTCCATTCCTATAACAAGGTATTCCATAGTCCCTACAATCTGCCATGTAGTGCTAATGCATTCCTTGCTTATGAGGTTTGAGATACATGTGCTGTGCCTGTGGGAAATTATTCAATCTCCGCCTTCAAGCCAAAACACAAGTCACCCCAACCAGTGTCATCGAGCTGCAGTATGCTTGTGTATGCGCCATCTCTGAGGGCATACTCCAGGCCATCGTCAGCGCCTTTACGGAGGCATATGAGAACATGGGTCTCATACCCACAATACAAAAGTCCTTCGTCAATCTGGCCTGGCATTGTGAAGCAAACCCCCAATCGTCCGGGTCCACGGGGAGGGTTTAGAAAATGTTGACCACTTGCAATACCTTGGAAGTATACTCTCGGCCAAAGCAACTATTGATGAAGAGATCCAGCATCACCTCCAGTGTGCTAGCACAGCCTTTGGCTGCCTGAGGAAAAGAGTGTTCAAGAACAACAATATCAGATCTGACACCAAGATCATGGTTTACAGAGCTGTGGTAGTTCCTGCCCTCCTTTATAGCTCTGAGACATGGACTCTCTACAGCAGACACCTCAAGGCACTGGAGCAATGCCACCAACGCCACCTGCACAAAGTTCTGTGAATCCGCTGGGATGAAAGATGCAACAACACCAGTGTCCTCAACCAGACCAACGTGCCCAGTATCAAGGCACTGACCACCCTTGATCAGCTATGATGGACTGGGCACATCATCCGCATGACCTACACGACACTACCCAAGCAGGTGCTGTACTCCCAGGTGGACAGAGGAAGCGCTTCAGTGATATCCTGAATGCCTCACTGGCGAAGTGTGACATACCCACAGACACCTGGGAATCGCTGGCCCAAGAATGCCCAAAGTGGAGGAGGAGCACGTGGGAAGGCGTTGAGCATCTCGAGACTTGCCATTGGGGAAAAAATGCATGGCAGGTAAAACATCGAAAGAAGCACACTGCCATACCAACGCCCCTCCCACCCCTTCCCACGACCACCACCTGCCCCAAGTGTAACAGAGCCTGTGATAGCCATGTCGGTCTGTACAGCCACCTACAGACTCGCCCTGCGAGTGAAAGAAAGTTGTGCTAGCCTGCAAGGGACTGCCGATGTTGACATGCCATTCCAGTAGCCTGAAATTCTCTTTAACTGATTAATGCATGTAGGCATTTTATGAAAACTTAGTGTTGCAGCAACGTCTTCCTCTTGTTCCACATCTTACAAGGTTATATCTTTCTCCATGCAAGGATGATTCTTATTTTAGAATGGCGTTGCTCAGTACCTTATTTTTATTGGCATATTCTATCACATACATAGAATCCTAGAATCCTTACAATGTGAAAGCAGGCCATTCAGCCCATCAAATACACTGACCCTCCAAAGAGCATCCCACCCAGACTCCCCCCTCTACCCTATCCCTATAATCCTGCATTTCTTATGGCTAATCCACCTAGCCTGCACATCTTTGGACTGTGGGAGGAAATTGGAGCACCCAGAGGAAACCCACGCAGACACAGGAGAATGTGCAAATTCCATACAGGTGAGATCAAACCTGGACCCCTGGTGCTGTGAGGCAGTGGTGCTGACCACTGCGCCGCTGTTATATTTTATGTTTATTCCTATTTTCTTTTGGTTAAGCTTTTGTAAATCTTTGTTGAATAGTTTCAGTTTCTTGGTGCACTTTACCGTTCCACATTTTGTTTTCTCCTTAGCAACGTCATTGAGAAATATTTAAAGTAATAAAAAGCCTCAAATTGATTTGCATGTCAATGGGTCAATATTGTCCACCTTTTGTTCACGATCATTTTTTGTCAGGCTAAATGACCTTTGTATTTCAAAGGAAAGTAAAGTTTACAACAGTATTTCAATCATATAACTATAATAAAAAAGAAAGGTTGTTTACTTGCTTTTGAGAACATATTGGAAACAATTAATTTGAATTTTCCAATCTGCTTTTCCCCTCTAATATTTTTTCTAATACTTTACAGGTTTTCTTTTGTGCATACTTTTGTTTTCAGTTAACGCTGGAAAATGTGTTTTGGCCAGGGTAGTTCATTTTGAAATACAGCAAAATTATAGCATTGAAACAGATCATTCAACGCAACAGGCTTATGCCAGTGATAAAGCTCCATGCTAGCCTCTTCCTGATTTAATTCTGTCAATGCATCCTTCAATTCTTTTCTTAATGTGTGCTTATTTAGCTTCCTCTTAAATACATTTATGCTATCCACCTCAACTGTTATATAAAACAGCAAGCTACATGTTCGCATTACTCTGAGTCAAGATGATTCACCTCCATTCCTTATTGCATTTGTTCGTGACTACTTTGCACTGATGGCTTCTAGTTTTGCAATTTTAGAACTCTTGCAAGTGGATTTATTCTTCATATTTTGAACTTTAAGCCTTCAATTTAACTTGTACTATCT